ATTCCCAACTGCAGTGAAGACGAAGGCTCTGCAGATCCTGGAATCCCACGTCCCTCCCCCGTGTGAGGGTGTCTTGGGAGGGGAAGGGCTGTTTGTCTCAGGGGGAAGGGGGCAAAGGGCAGGTCCTTTTGCAGGAGCCCAAATCACCCCATTGCGGCCCAAATCATCCCATTGCGTCCCATTGTGCACCCCCTATGGTGCTGGCCACGTGTCCGGGGCCACTCTGCCCCCCCCAAGCCCCCCAGCAGGACAGGGCAGGCATCCCGCTGCTGGCAGCACCTGCCTGTCCCGGCTCCCTGCCTGCACTGCAGGGGGTTTGGGGGGGGTAAGTGCTCCATCCCCAAGGGAGGGGGCTTGGGGACATTGATTTTTTCCCTGGGTTTCCCCAGGAGCCGGGGCTGAAGCCGAGAGGATCCAGCTCCCACCAGCATCCCACAGCTGGAGAGAAGGAAGAGGCTCAAGGCAGCGCCTGGGTGAGGGGCTGCACCCCAACCCAAAAATCCCCTAGGAAAGACCTTCCCAGCCCCAGCAGCGCTTGCACCTCCTCTCCCCCCAGGAGCCCCCAGCGCTGGGGGTGCCCCGGGGCAGCTGGAGCTCCTCGCTTTTGGGCAATAGCAATGGGAGCGTGTTTCATCACAGCAGATTAAAGCTCTGATTCAACGAGGCCGTGAGTCACCCCCTCGCCATCCAGCCAGTGCGTAATGGCTGGTGTGCTCAGGCGCTTAAAATACCTGAAGCCGAGGGCCCCCCATGGCCTCGGGCTGGGGCTTGGCCCAGCCACCGCACTCCTGGGGTTCCCCCGTTGCCAAGGGGTCCCTGGACAGGATGAGGTGGCCGGGGATGCAGGGCAGGGGATGCCATGGGGCCCATGGGGCAGGGGATGCCATAGGGCCCATGGTGGTGCTGGTTGGGTGGGTGCCATCCTTGCACCCTAGGCCAGTGGTGCCGCTGGGGGGACCCCACAACAGGAGGGTTTAGCAGGAACGGGCAAAGCCATGCCTTGGCTCCTTCGGCGCTGGAGGGGAGCAGCAGGTTTTGCGATCCCAGCCCAGAGGGTGGGAATGCTGAGAGGGGCTGGCTACAGCCCAGAGGCTGGGTGATGGCCACCCATCCCGGCCACGGAGGGGAATGCAGGAGTGCAGGAGCCCCAGGCTCTCCGAGCATCTCACCCGCCCCACGTGCCAGGGAGCGGCACGTGCGGCCACCCTCTTGGTGTCAGTCATGCCTTTAGTGCGAGAACTCACCAAACCGAGGCATTTCCAGGATATTCTTGGTTCTGTCTCAAGGGGTGAGTAACTTTCTTAATGAGGGAGGACTAATAACCCCTCCAGGGATGGGCTGTCACCGCTGAGCAGCTGCCAAAGCACACGCAATTGCTGAGGATGGGGGCGTTGGATGAGCCCCAGCGTGAGCCCCTGGCCCCACAGTCCCAGCAGCAATGCCTTTTCCCCATGTGCCACCCCCTGTATCCCATAGCAGGTTATCCCCACACCCTCCCAAAGCATGTTGGGGCTGTGGCAGTGGCACCAAGGACAGGGAGAACAGAGGGACACTGAGCGGGATGACCTTGTCCCTGAACATGCATGTGCCGAGGCATTCATCCCCCTTCCTGTAACCCCCATCCGTGGGGATTAAAGAGCTTCAGGAATCTGCCTCTGCCTCAGTTTCCCCCTGTGTGGTCCAGCACAAAGCCCAGGCTTGTGGCAAGGGGCAGGGGGAGAGCAAGTGGCCCCACAGCCCCGCACCACTGAGCAAGCAGCGAGGACCAAGACCCCCTTGGGAAGGGCCGTGAAGTCACCCATGGCGTCACCGGCCCCGGGCTCAGCAGCCACCCAAAGCAGAGCTCCCAGCTGCCTCCCCCGGCTTTCCCGAGATGAGCGTTAGCGGGGTGGCCTGCCCAGCGGTGCCAAGCAGGGACGGGGTGTGCCAGAGCTGCCGCCACCTACAGCCGTGCCCGGGCATCACCTGGGGCCCCAAAACCCGAAGCAAAGGGACCAGCTGTGTTCTCTGCCAGGCCCAAATTAGTGGCATTAAGATAGGTCGTCCCTTGCCATGGCTTTAAAAGCACACGTCAGGCCAAGCAAAACAGCACGTGGTGTCACCGGGAAGCCACCAAGGCTGTGACGCGCAGCTTCATGTTGTGCGGGGACCAGGAGATGGGGACATCCCCAGCTGGTGACATCCCAGGTGACTTCGAGGGGGCAGCTCAGTCCCTGCTCTGTTCTGGGGGCACGTCAGTGCTGTGTCCCCCTCCCTGTGCCCCGGCGGTGCCGTGTCCCCCCCCCGCGCTCCCCGGGCAGCATTTTGCAGCAGCCGGGGGAGGTGACGGGTGCCATTCCCCAGCTCTGTGTCACCCACAGTAATAACACCCTCTGCTCCCTTTCATCTCAGGGCCTCCAAGGTGGCCCTCTCCAGGGCGAGGGCGTCCCGGCGTCATCGCTTATTATTAATACCAGGAGGCAACTGGGGACATGGCAGGGTCTGGGGGTGCTGGCTGGTGGCACGGGGACCCTGGGCGGGGAGCAGAGCCATGACAGTCCTGGTGCCAGGCAGTGAACACGGGTGCTCAGCACACAGCCGCGCTGCCTGTGAGGCCGAATTTGGCCTTACTGTAGCCACTCAGGGTGGGGTGCAGCACATGCATGGGGACAGTGGCATGTGCGTGGGGGTAGTGGCATGTGCGTGGGGACAGCGACATGTGCGTGGGGACAGCAGCAGGTGTCCATGGGCCGGTGGGCATCTGCATGGAGATGGTGACATGGGACATGGGGATGGCAGGGAAATGGCAAGTGCCCAGGGACAGTTGGCATCTGTATGGGGACAGATGGCATCTGCACGGGGACGGCTGGCATCAGCGTGGGGACAGCTTGGTCTGCATGGAGATGGCTGGTGTGTGCACACAGGGCAGCCCAGGCATGCACAGAGGTGGCTGGTGCACGCATGGGACAGTGGGTGCGTGCACTGAGATGGCTGCTATGGGCACAGGAACAGCCAGTATGGGCACGGGGACAGCCTGGGACACAGCTGGTGTGTGCATGCTGGCGATGCTGGGGTGACTGCCATGGGAGCGGGGCAAGAGGAATGCCCCCACCCTGGCCGGGAGCATTGCTGCTCCCCTGGGGCAACACTGGGTGACGTTGGTGGCTCCAGGAGAAGGGCTTGGTCCCTCCTGCTTGCTCAGGGAGTTGGCACACACCCTGCTTAATGGCGGGTGGGACGGAGCCGGTCCCACGCGGGTCAGGGAGTCCCCAAGGTCTCTCTTGACCTCCAGGTTGGGCTTTCACCCCCCACCCTGCTCCCCCAGCTCCTCCAGCCCTTTCCCCCCAACTCCCCCACCAAGCAGCCCATGATGGGGGCTCGGGGCTGCAAATTCCTATTGCCCTGCTCCTCCCCACGCACGTGTTGGGACACGTCCCAGCTCCTCCCCAGCTGATTTCCCGGCAGGGCAAAGCCGGTGTCCCCTGAGAAGAACCAGGAGGCTGCTGACTCTGGATCCATGGGGTGAGTGGGTTCACGGCATCCCTGAGCCTCCGTTCCCCTGCCCAGCCCCTGGCCCACCCTCGCACCCCTGAAGGGGCTTTGCAACCCTCATGCCATCACCCTTGAGGCAGGATCCGTCCGTGTTTCACCCCAAGACAGTGATTATTTCTTAATTGCCAGCAAAACAAACGAATAAAGCCCGGGCTGGCCCTTGCTGAGCTGGAAGGAAATGGCCTTGGTGCAATTCCCGGCCCTGGGTTCGCTGCCGGCAGCTCTTTGGGATAATCGTTTGGTGATGGATGTTAACGAGCAGCTCAGCCAGTCCAGCCAGAGCGCGTCAGCTCTTTTTAATGGGGCCGATGTTTTCTCCAGAGCCATCAGCACGCCTGTCCCTCTCGGCAGTGCTGGGCGTGCGGCTCCTGGCTCATCACCAGGCCACCGGCTTGTCCTTCCCAAGGATCTGCATCGGCTCCGCAGCCGCATCCCGCCGCGCCGCCCAGGGGTGTCACAGCTGGTGGGGTCCCCCAAACCGCCCTGCCTGTGGAGTGCTCAGCACCCAGCCAGCCCTTCCTCCTGTACCCAAATCCCTCTGGCCAAACTTCCCGTATGGGCTGGCAGGATGGATCCTGATCCCTAAAAACATTTGGCCCCTCTCAGCCTCTTGGGAAACTCTTCCTGATCTGGCTGTTTTGCCAACAGGATCAAAGGGGTTTTGCAACGGGAGGCAGCTGCCTGATTTTTTTTATAAAGTTCCTTGGAAATTCACTTTCTGGCAGGGCTCCTCTCCTCCTGCGCCCCAATCTGGAGCCTTGTGGGGCATAACTGGGAGCAACATTTAATCCCGATGGAGATGCTTGATGGAGCCACATGATGATGCTGGCAGGAGCCAGAGAGCAAAATGCTGCAGCACAAGGAGCGTCTCTATGTGGGGACCCCAGCAGAGGGGACTCCAACCCCCATGGGGACCCCTCAGGCTGTCAGTGCATCACAGGGTGCATTTCAGAGGGCACCAGGGCTTGGGGCACCCCCTTGCCTCCTCTCCCCTCCAACCCCAGTTGTGGGTGCTCCTAAACACCCCATTTCCCCCCTAACTCAAATCCCACCATGACTCAGTTACTCTTTCCGCAGCCAGCTCCAGTTTCCAGTGGCAGACCCCTGGGATATGGGAGAGGACAACTTGCCACCATCGAGCCCCAGCTTTGGAGATGGACTTTGCAGTTTGGAAGATCTCTGCAATGGCCTCCATGAGACAAAACGCCCAGGGCTGGGGGTTTGGGGTTTTCAGGGGTGCTTTTGCAATAAACCCCTGTGAGGGTGTAGAAATAAACCAGCGCTGGCTTGTCTCCATATGGGGCTCAGTGCTTTTAAGGATGGATTCCAGCTCCGAGAAGGAACAGGGGAAACGGGAGTGGCAGCTGCAGATGCGGAGCCTGGAGTCGCGCCTGTCCGTCCACAGGACCGCAGGGCATTGGGCACTGGCGGGGAGGCACCTCCTGGAGATGTCTGCAGGGTTAAATGCCGTGGGGAAATGAGCTCTTTAAAGTGATGGGAATTATTGGGATGAAAGGAAATGGGCGGCTGGCGGCCAGGGACGAGGCTGGCCCGAGGAGGAGGCGGTGGCTTGGCCAGTGGTGGGGCCACACGATGGGGCCACGCGGTGGGTTTTAGGGGCTGGGGTTGGGCTCCTCAGGGCTGGGAGCGCCCAGCATCAGCCTCCAGAGCCAGTGGGCTCCGTCACCCCGGGTGTCACCCCCTGCCCCCTGGGCGCCAGAGGGGTGCAGTGGGTCCCTGGGGACACTGCTGGCCAGGGTGAGGGGGCCCTGGGGTGGGGGGTGTCAGGCTGGGGGGCATTGGACTGGGGGGCATCAGTGGGGTACCAGGCCTTGGGCATCAATGGGGAATCAATGGGGCACCAATGGGCCACTAATGGGATATCAATGAGACGTCGATGGGGTGTCAATGGGGAGTCAATGGGGTGTCAATGGGGGATCAATGGGACAGCAATGGGGCACCAATGGGGCAGTAATCGAGCAGCAATATGGTGTCAATGAGGCAGCAGTGGGACTTCAATGGGGTGAAAATGGGGAATCAATGGGGGATCGATGGGGCGTCAGTGGCGGATCAATGGGGTGCCCCTTTAACCCGCGCTCGGTCCTGACCAATCACCGCCGGG